GCAAAATGGAAGACCAAAAAAAGAAAAAAAATCACTCACAGTAGTTCCACTATTCCTAAATTTAATGTAAAAAACAACAACAGATAAGCCCAAGTATAAACTCTGCAGTGTGTGTTCAACACTTTCAGTGTTTAAAATTTCTGTAAAATAGCAATTCATGTATTTTTAATTATTTCTAGTTCTTAGCAAGTGACTCATAGTCAACCTAACTGCTGTTGTCTAAACCAGAGCTTTCCAAACTGTGTGTCGCGACACGTCTGTCGCAGCAGTGTGTAGGTGTGTCGCACAAACACTACTCGCGCTCCTCCCGGGGCTGGAAAGGGGTTAGTTTTGGTTTTCTAGTAAAACTTTATCACTGTGTCGCAAATGATGCACGTCTATAAAGTGGGTCGCCAACATGGAAAGTTTGGAAAGCTCTGGTCTAAACTCTGGTAACCTCCGGGCTAGACAACTGCAATGCATTGGGGCTGCCTTTGAAGACAGTTCAGGAACTGCAGCAGGTGCAGAATTTGGAAGCCAGGTTGCTCACTAGGACAAGATGGTCCGAGTACATAAGATCAGTTCTGGCAGAACTGCACTGGGTCTTGGATGTACTGAAGCGTACAAACCCCTGAAGCGTTTTCCTCAGGCTGTGCTTCAAATTCCATTAACATCCTTTATAATACAATATGCCAAGTAGACTTATGCAACCTTTCTATGATATTTAGACAACTGATTGTCATCCGCATCTATCTCCAAGACCTGTTGAATGCTTACAGATGCATAATGAAGGAAGGCTAATTACAGAGTTGTTACTATGCTAGACCAAACCTAGCAGTTACTATGTGACATAAAGGGGGGAGGTAATATATCAGGCATAAGCTGTATTTAGTGTAGTGCATGTGGAGGATAATAGGGAGGTGATAAGTGATACAGAAAACAGTCAGTATGGAATAAAGCTTCAGGTTCTGTAAATCTATGAGACAATCTAATGCACAGGAAAGCTACGAGGTTTTCAAAAGAGAAAATCTATCTTGTCTTTCCTGCAGTTTAAACAGTATTCAGACAGTGAAAGCATTCTGCTGCCACCTACAGTACAATTTACAAAATGGAAAACCCTTCCCCCTGCCTTAGCTGGTGAAGAGTCCACAGTAGACATCATCTATTCAGGCTGCTCACTGCAAGTTAAGCTCACTAGTCACACAAAAAGCAAAATTAGTACTTCACTGCACTATATAGAAGAATGGGATAAGAGCTGAATATTATGAAGAAATCCATCGAGTGCTAAAATAATGACAATATTTAATGTTAAATGAGAGATGGGCAAGGACTCTCTGAATGATATATTACATCCTGCAGAAAGACAGAACATTCCTCTGCGGCTGTCACAGATTACGCATAAGCTTGTGCCAACCTATGAAAGGCAAACACATTCAGCTTTAACCTGCTTATCTTATCCCTACCCTCCATTTCAAGCCAAACCTTGCTACAGTTTCACCAGTGCAAGATTGCACCAGCAACAACTCTGGCCTCATCTTGGATACTGATCAGCTCCTCCTATGATTAAGCAGGCCCCTTCAGAATTCAAGCACCTTTACCAGCGCTGGGAACTAGGAAGAGGAATCACCAAAATCCTAACACAAACAGAGGAAAGGAATGAGCTACAGAAATCCTAGCATTGTGAACATTTTACACACAAACGTTCTCCTGTTTGCTCAGGCCTGGGCAATATGCAGTTAGTTATGTGGTGAGATCTTTAGCTCACTTTTCCAGTCTAGAACGGAGCAATCAAGGCAGCTTCTATCTAGTCAAGAGAAATAAAAACAGGATGACAAGAAGGGCAGTGAATGAGAACCTGTGGCCCTACTCCACAGGTTGAACTGCAACTCCCATTATCTGACCACTGACTTTGCTAACTGGCACTGATGAAAACTGAACTCCAGCTCCAATGAGGAGTCTCACAGGATCCCAATTTGTGCCATAAAAACAAAAAATTGTTAAACAAAAGGGGAGGTCAAAAGTTTTACAAATAAAAAATGTATTATGGGACCTTAGGGTGAAGGGCAGGTTAATAATTAATAATAAGAATCAGAATAAGAATAGCAGAGATATGTTAGCCACTCTCTGCTATTAATATTATTAAGCAAATCACATGACAGAAGGAGTTGTGCTTTCTGGGCACCACAATGAAACAGGTGCTGTCTCATGTTCCTGCCAACCTGCATCGGATATCTGCTGAAGGGAAGGGTATAAATCTCTTAAGTAATAAATAAGTACAGTTGGGAAACCATACATACACACAGGATTTTCTGGTTCCCATGAGTCTCTCAATGCAGATCCAAGAAACATCTTGTTTAAAAATGGCTGATTATTTAACTTGTAAATACTTACAAACGGACACTTGCTGCTGCTGCCTCAAAACATTCAGCTACCAATGTTGACATTTTGCAATGAAGTCTTTAACAAGTATAAGGAAGCACTACTTTTAATAACTAATCACGATGTTCAACCTTATTCCATAGGAAAACAATACGTGAATATCTGAACATTTGAATTTACTAGGGAATAATGCTTCAGAGGCACAATGTGCTATCCAGCGGCAAGTTTTCTTTTTAGCAAACAACCTTTATACACTGACACTTCACACCAGTAGAATCATTGCTAATAAAATTGTGTGATGCTGAAAATAAGATTTACAGATTATAGAGAGTGTGTCTAAATAATTAATTCATGAAAAAGCATCAGATTACATGTAAATTATGGCATCTTGTTAAAGAAACTTAGAAGTTGGGAGTGAATCATGTTTACTTTCCCATCTCTATCAGGACAGAGGAGCAGGGAGAAGACTGGAAGAGGCCAGAAAAAAGCTAGCCTTTCCCATAGTAAATGCCTGCATTTTCTTAAAGCGGCTTGCCACACACTTTTCTGTTCCTCTCCTTATGGGAATATTCATTCCAAAGATTGACAAATTGAGATACAATAAAATCTGATATGTGGATCAACATATTTTGGGGGTGAGCAGGCTTCGGGGCTGCAAGATCCATGATCAGAAGGCACGTAAGACCACTACCTTGCTGAAATAAAGCAGATACCTGGATCTCTGGCAGGTACTGGATAGGTACCTGCCAGAGAATCACATGTTCATCTCCTTGAACACGAGGGTACAAAGGTGGGGTCCAAGTGTAAAGTTTGTATTCATTTATTTAGCCAGAACATTGGGGTGCAACAGTAAAGCCAGTCACAAAGCAAAAGCCTGGGAGAGGCCAGGTAACTGCAACTGCATGTTGGATACCACAAGCCATACATCAGGATGACTATAAGAGGCACTACACCTGACCCCAAAAAATCTACACAAAAACTACATAAAGACCTACTGTAGGTACGGTGATTAAATGTGTTAAGGCTTGTGCATTTAACATAATACAAACTTTATATGCCTATCAATCTCAGCATCCACCTCTGAAATTTATCCATATCAACCTCTGCCTTGAAAGGCTTGCAGAAAAGAAAAGAAAGACCTAAAAACCCTGTTTCCAACGGGAAGGAAGCCTAAATTCAATGCTGATGCAGAACTCTTGCACTGCATTGCATCACTAAGGACTGAATAGTTTAATGAAATCTAATAACAGTTAAATTCAAAGGTTAATCCAAGCATCTATCTGAAATAACAGAGTATTTGGATGATGTTCACAGCAGAAAATGCAGATTCACAGAAGATAACTGGCAGCAGCAGCAGCAGCAGCAACAACAACAAAGGCAAAAGTAAAAACAAAGCAACACAGATTTTTTAAAGGGATTTGATTTTTTGGAGATTTTTTTGAAAAACAAAGTCATTTTTACAAAGGACATTCAAAGCTAGGAGGAAGAGCAGGCAGAGACCAAGTAGAGGTGACTGCAGAAGCAGAGGGGTACAGTGGGCCATGTCTACCCTGAACCAGGTTAGACTTCCGTTATGGTGGGGTCTGTAAGCATATGCCTTTCCCCGCTCAGCCAGTACAAGCAAACAAAAGATAGTGATGGATTAAAGGGAACAGTAGTTGCAGCAGCTGCTCTCAGGAGTCCTCCTCCATTAAAGCCCTACATTCCAGTAAAGAACCAGTAAACATGCATGGGGATAGGAACTTCTAGCCACTTCTCTCATCTTTCTCCAAGCCCTGAGTAAGAAATTGACTTAACAATTTTTCTTATTACCACTCACTTTTATACTTTTTCTCTTAATGTACTTCTCTCCTTTGCACCTTGTTGCCCAACTTTGAACCACGAGTGTAAACAGCTCTACATGTTTTAATGTATAGCATAGAGGTATTAGGATATTTGTAGCTCAGTACTGAGGGTAGAACTAAATGCTTGCCCCCATCATCGACGGCAAGCAAGAATGAACAAAAAGAAACTTTTATACTCTAAGAGAAAGGGGAGCTCCTCTTAAGATGGCAATGTCACCCACAAGTGACATTGGCTAGGTAAAAACAAATGTGTATCAGCAGTTTAAGTAAGAAGTCAGCTTTAAGTCAAAGCTGAAGTTCTGCGATGGATTTGTGGTCAATCCTAAAACACAAAGGAATTTACCCAGGCAAAAATATAGTAATGTCTGCTGCTTTGGGAGCAAACAATGCACTTTTGTGCTGACCCGGGGTAGGTTACGATGTGCCATAATTAACCACTAAGGAAATGTTTTTAGAAAATTTAAATATACATTAATAATTGCACTGGTTTTGGCTCACTTTTATGTTATCCCAGAGAAGTCTAGAGGTCTAAGAGTCAAGAATATTCCATTGCATCTATTTCAACTTTTGGTTCATGACAGTTTTATAAAATACAGGACCTAAGCAAATACAGTGAAACCTCATTTTCCTAGAGGAATCATTCAAAGGTTAGTGCTCTACACTCACACATTACACATAAGGTTTAGTTGAGTTCTACATAAGTAACAGCTATGATAACAATCATTTCAAATGATCGGTGGCACACTACTCCCAGTAAAATGCCAAATCCCAGGAAAACAAAATTGTGCAGCTTCTTACCTGCAGCTCCTTTGAGACTCTCTCTAAGTGGTTAGTTATCTTTTTTATTAGGTCACTATACATCTGTTCCGAATGCTGCTGGCACACACATTTATACACACAACTGCAGAAATAAATACAGGAACAGTGATGAATTGACAACAGTTTGCAGCACAGGGGGGAAAAAACAAGAAATGTCAAGCCAGTAGAAATTCTGCTTAAAATTAAAAGGAAACTTCAGCAATACGCATCCTAAACAAAGACCCTATTTATCCAACAAGTTTTGTAGCAGCCTACTACCTGTGCTCCCTACAGACAGCCTTGCAAACATTGAAAAGCTAAGGCTGCCTCATATATAATGTTTGGGATTTTAATAGAATAGCTTGATTGTATCAAATTGTTATGGAAAGCCATCAAATAATTATTCACATGACTGGAGTCTGTATTAACATGGGCCACTTTCTCAAGCTATATGCAGTTTAACCACAGCTTCATCTAATTCTTTCAAAGAGTCTTTACTTCTGAACATAAAGGTATTCCTGTCAACTAATTTACACTTTCCCTGTTAGGCACAGAATGCTGGTTTAAACCTACAAAGCCCCACACAGCGCAGGACCCCTATACCCAGTTCTCTCATATGAACCAACCAAGCCCCCAAGGTCATTACAGGCCTTTCTGTCTGTGCCCCTCCAGCAGAAGTCTGGAGAGTAGTTACAAAAGAAGAAGGGATTTTCAGTGGTGGCCCCCATTCCAATGGATGCTCTCCCTAAGGAGGCTTACTTTGCACAGACTTTGATATTATTTTGGTGTCAGGCAAAAGTGTGTGTCATCAAGAGGCAGAGGAAGCTTGAAAATAGGCAGGAAAGTAGAGAAAAGTACTAGTCTGAACACCCCTTCAATGTCTTTCACTTTAAGCAAGTAATCTTCACTCCTTTATTTTACTCCTAGGCACTTAAGTGCAGATATTTTACTGCTACTTCTTGGGAGCGGATTAAGTTTTAAAGGTTAGGTGATCGTATAACATTTGTTGGGATGATGAGGTTTCATTGCTTGATTGCTTAAAGAGTTATTGATCTCATCGTTGTAGTGAGTTCTTTTACAGTCTTTAAACTGTTGGTTTTGTATGTGATATTGTTTATAATGTATATTTTGACATCACCTTGAACTGTTCCATATAAGGAAGATCTAAAAATCAAAATAAATAAGGCTTAGACTAATCTAAGCTAGTATTTGTTGGCTTTCCCAGCAATGCAAGCTACAAACCACAAACAAAATAAGTAGCACAGAAATACCTGCACATTACAAGGATTTAAAGATGCTATTTCTGAATGGAAACTGACAGTTCTGCCGTTAGTAGTAACCACATTTGGGCAATCATCTGTGATCAATGTTCCATGACATTGTTCCTGATGAATAACCTTTGGACTATAATGTAACTTAAATAGAAAACTATCTTTAGAAAGATTTTTTCCCTCCAAAAGCATTTTATTTTAAAAATCCAATTTAAATTTTAAAAAATCTGATTTAAATCCATTTTTTTAAAAAACATTGATCTACCCTGCTTTCCTGCCTATTTCCAAGCTTCCTCTGCCTCTTGATGAAACAAATTTTGCACAACAAAACAAATGGTGTGAAAATATAAGCAAGTCCCACTGAACTCAGAAAAACTTGCATGAAAAGCTACTGGTATAGATTCCACCTAAGACGGCCAACATTGGAAGTGGTTCTGTTCTGAGCACCTATCTAAAGTATGGCTGAAATTCCATCAAAGCCACAAAACCTTAAGCAGCATAAAGCTGTTCCTTCATCTTGACCTAGAAAATACCACAGATCAAGGGACATGAAGCCACTTCAGATCAAGCCCAAGTAACAAACCAAAGAATGCTGTTTTAGAAGTATTCAGACCTTCACCAATGTGGCCTGAAACAAAAAGAAGGCTGTCTATGATCCTTCGTACCCACTTTGGAGCTATACAGGATTAGCACCTTCATCACAATCCCTGCTCACACTGTCACTGACGGCAGGACAACTACCATGATTCTTCATATGCAAATCAATGGAGACAAGAGGATCCATGCTGGGTGTGGACTTCTTCACTGTTGCCAGCCATTTTCTGGGATGCAATATTTATTTTCTTTCTCTGGCAACTGCCCCAATGTGAACCAGCAGAGAAACTCCTGCTCACATTGACAGTGGCTGTCATGTAGTCAGCAGGTGGACATCAAATGACTCAGAAAATCAAAATCAAGGCTGTATCCTGAGTACAAGGTGAAACAGGTCCCACCCAAAGTACAGAAGTTGCTTCTGAAGCAATTTGTGTGTGTCTCCAGATCTCTACTACATATCGCATCGATTTAATCGGGCTCAAAATTGAAATCCATTGAAAGTTATTATCTATGTAGATCTTAACATCTAAAGCCTTTATTGCCAAATACTACTGCGTTTAAGAACTTTCCAAAATTGCAACAGCAGCAAAACTATACACGGGGAGTATATCTAGTAATGCATGCAGTGTTCTCAGATCAAAAGTAAAATAGTAAAATGAAAACAAAATTATATTTAAATAACAATTATAACATGTGGGACTCCAAAATGCTTCATTTGAACTTTTAAGTACAGTGGAACCTCCGTTTTTGAACATAATCCGTTCCGAAAGACTGATCAACTTTCGAAACATTTGAAAACCGAGGCACAAAGGGCAGTCTGCAAATTTACAGAGAAAATTGAAAAAAAATACAGTGGTACCTCAGCAGAAGACTTCCGATGCACGTTAGAAAACAGAAGCATTTACTTCCGGGTATTCGGCATTCCGAGTTCCAAAACATTCATCAACGGAGACATTCGAAAACCAAGGTACCACTGTATTAATTTCAGAAACACAACTACCACAATTCTCAGATACAAGGCCATAATCATTTTTCTACTAGAGTCCTTCCACGCCAAATCACCTGATTTTAATACTTGACTGTGCTCTCATGACTCAGATTTTCTTCAAAAAAAATTATGTGTAGATAACTATGAGATAATCTCAAATTAATTTTTTAAGATTTTTTTGGTCCAAAACTGGGCACAGGAGAATTTTTTTAAAAATTCGATTTTCACATGATATAGATTAACGCAATTTCTGCATCAGCTTAGGAAAAAACCTCCTGTTTTGCTTATTTTTCAACCAATTGGGCTTATTTTGGTATCAAAATAAAGCTAATTTCTGTCTCTTTCAAAAGAAGCTATAAAAATAGTATTACGTGCCACAGAAAAGGTTCACCGACCATTCAAAGTGAATTTTAGTCATTTTGTACCTTGGTAGGTTCAATAAGCCATAGCACACAAACCACAACTAAGACATGTACCATACTTTTTTTGTAGAATGGGCTAACCGTCAACTTGTTATGTTTTAAAAATCAGAAGGGTGTTTATTTGGTGGTAATGAAATATTTTAAAATTAAGTTTTATTAATTAATTAATAATAAAACCCCATACGTCTTGGAACCCTTGTTCATTTTATTGTGTAAAACACTTCTGCAATGATATGGTCAAAGCTCTTTTGTTTCCCATACGTGTAATATGGTCAATGGTGCTGTTTTGGCCACTGTATGCAATATGATGTTTCTGAATCACCAAGGAAAAAATGCATTATTTTTTTTTACTTTCAGATAAAAAAGTCTAACAAGTTTCTTGTGAATGAAATCAAAGCATTTAGGAAATAAGTCTACGTGAGTGTGCCTGTCCTTAACAGGAAAAAAACAAAAACAGCAACTTGCATTGGAATGGATGGCAACATTTTCATGAGTGAGCCTATCTTAACAGGATAAAGCAACAGAATGAAACAGCTTCACCAAAATAAATGGGACTAGTGTACACCACAACTAAATTTATATCGATTGTGTATAACTCTGTATATCTCCCTCTCTTCAGCCCCATGTTAGAATTCCCAGCACAACAGAGGAAATGGAAGCACATGCATTCAATTTCTTTGACACTTGGTACATGACAGTACCCTGATCCATATTTTCAAAAAGTGAGTGGTCACCTCCACTGTCCTTCTCTGAAAGATAATTTTACAGTGGGGCAGATGAAGCACAAGTCAGATGGTGTCAACTTACAGCAAACAGAATGCTGTTTTTAGACACTGGGCTGCTTTTAGACAAATATTTGGGTGAGCAATAGAGAAAATTGGTTGGTCATGGACAAGACCCAAACATCTCTCGGCCTCACATGGAGTCATTGCAAAGCTCCATGAGATAAGCACTGCAAACCACTGTGTGTACACATAGCAAGTGACTAGAGATGAGGAAAGTAGAGGATAACAAAGAATTTAAGTTTAAGCGCCATGGGTATTCTGCCAGCATTACAGCTTCTGTTCATTTCCATGGGGTCCTCCAGTAAACCATTATTCTCAGCCCATTTTATTGAGGGTTCTCAACACCCCCAGTGCCAAGCTAGTGTTGCCATTAAACCTGTATTTGCTATTTGAATCAGAGTTGAAGGTACCAACAACCCAATCCCTGCCCAAAATCACCGAGCTCCTTTTAACTAAAAAAGGCCACTTCATATCTCTTGAGGAATTATTGTAATCCAGACTGTATTTGGCTGGCCCTTGAATATTCCATAAATTTTCACAATCATAGATGATCCAGGAACTATACGTAAGACATCAACACACTCAGAGATTCTGAGTCAAGGAAATAAACCGGCAAGAGTTTCACTGAAACATAATTCTAAATAACCTTAATGCAGTCCTTGGAACATTAAAAACCACCCAGCAATACAAACAAAGAACCCCTGGGACAAATCATCCCTAAGTGATGGGTTGAACATATCTATAGATCTGTCCCAATGGAAGAGGGAAGAACTAGGTAACAGAGGTGTAGGGATACATGATAGCTATTCTAAGAGCTGAAAGCATCATAGTGGAAAACATTATGCCAGAGACATTTGGAGAGAGACACCATTTATAGGTGTTTACAGTGGTACCTCGCAAGACGAATGCCTCGCAAGACGGAAAACCCGCAAGACGAAAGGGTTTTTTGTTTTTTGAGCTGCTTCGCAAGACGATTTTCCCTATGGGCTTGCTTTGCAAGACGGAAACGTCTTGCAAGTTTGTTTCCTTTTTCTTAACACCGTTAATACAGTTGCGACTTGACTTCGAGGAGCAACTCATAGAATGCGGTGTGGTAGCCTTTTTTGAGGTTTTTGAAGACTTTGGTGATTTTTGAAGCTTTTCCAAAACTTTCCCAACACCGTGCTTCGCAAGACGAAAAAAAATCGCAAGACGACAAAATTCGCGGAACGAATTAATTTCGTCTTGCGAGGCACCACTGTATATGACAATACTAGAAGATTCCAAGACAAGATGGGAGAGCTGAAGTGTTTGGTTTTAAAGAACAGCATAGATATACCAGGCATAATGGAAACCTGGTGGAACAAAGAGAACAAGCAGCACGCAGTCATCACTAGATTCAAACTCTACAGAAAGCACAGGAAGTGCATCCTAGGGATGACACAGCACTGTAAGTCAAAGAGGACATAGTCAAAAAAGCTAGAATTCCCAAAAGGGACAGGCTCCTTTACAGAACCACTGTGGCTGACACTAGTAACTTAACTGTTAGGGACATACTGTCATCGCGCACCACCCGAGCTAAAATGGTGAATTTGGGATTGTAAATCCAAATCAAGGAAGCATTCTAAGGAGGAGGTGACATAGCAATAGGAGACAAATTACACACACATTAACTGGGTGATTGCAGTCAGGGATGTAAGATTTCAGGATGCCCTAAAATGTCTGCCCTAATGGAGCTGAACAGATGGGAACAGACACAAGACTTAAATTTAACTGGTAAAGAGGGGATGTAAAGTCCTGTTGAACCAAATGCATACTGTATGACAATGCTATCAAGTTCAACATATATGGAAGTGGGGAATTGCCAAGGAAACTGAAAGCAGTCACACACATACACTTCAAAAGAGGAACCTTCTCAAAATTCAACAGAAGGGTAAAAAGGGAAGTTGAAAGGGAAAGTCAAGAAAGTAAAAACTCTTCAAAATGCTTGGGAGTTATCTAGCTCAGCTAGAATGTATATAGCATTTCAGGAATTAGTGGTGACTGGCCAGGAAAGAAATTTTGGGGTCAATGTGGATAGCTCAATGAAAATGCTGACCTAGTGTGAAGCAAGCAGCTGTAAAAAAAAGAGAGTTCTGTGCTAAGGATCATTAGGAAAAGGACTTAAAATAAACCTGCCAATATCATAACACTGTTATAAAAATCTTTCTAATTCTGCATGCAGTTTATTGTAGAGCTGGAAAAGATGCAAATAAATAAATAAATAAATAAATAAATAAAAATGGCAACCAAAATCATTAAGGGGGTGGTGCAAATCCCTTATATGGAAAGGTAACAATAGAAGCAGCTAGAAGCTTTTTCTTCATTTTGTATGCATAACCCAAGATTAATTGAAATTATTCACCTTCGTTTCCAATAAATGAAAGGTTCAAAAATGTGTTACCTGGTTCATTTTTTTATCATACTTTTACCCTGCCTTTCAACCTTAAGTCTTGAAATCTAATATTAAAATGAACATTGTTACCCAAGAATGCAATACTAGTGCATTAAAAGTAGCTTCTGTGCATACAGTTGATATACAGCAAATGCAAAATGCAAAATAATTTATTCCAGAACCATACAAAGCTTGTAAAATTTTCTTACCTGTATATTTGTTCATAGGAGATGGGGATGTAGTCACCAGGACACTGAGTTAAAAGCTGATCTATGGCACTATCCAACTTTGGCCAGTATGTGCTCTTATAGTCTTCTATTGTTATAACATTCATTACTACAAGAGAAAATAAATCATCTTAATGCACTTACGGAACACAATGAAAAGAATGATAAAATAATTGCACCAACATTCTTAGCAACATCTGTAAAGCTGTCTTAAATTTAAATAATCTCTATAATGCAAAAAACGTATTTTTTGAGATGCAAGCAACGCATTTTTCACTGTGATACAAGAACAAGAATTTGTTCTCATCAGTGTGCTAGAGACATTAATATGTTTATTTCAACACAAAACATGTTTAAATACGAGACATTATACATTTGCACCTAACCCCAAGCCAAACCATGGTGAAATGTGAACAAGCATGTGGGTACTCAAAAGAAAAACTGGAATTGAGCCATGGTCTGGATTAGCATTACATCTCAATCCACATTTATGGTCCTTTTTGCTGCAGACAAATCATGAGCTATAACCAAGGTTTGTTCTTGTCTTACTGCTCATTGTTTGTGTGGTGGGGAAAATTCAGATGTAACAGTAAGGCAATCTATGGCTTGGCTCTGAATAGTATGGCACTGGAGGACACAGCCAAAAAAGCTGATAGATGTTTGCATTCAATTGCCTCCTGAAACACACAGAAGTTTACATAGCAATTTTCCCAACTCAAATATTTATACTTTTCTTAGTAAAACAATAGGGCAAACAACATGCACTTCCATAAGCATGTGTGTGCACGCATGCAAAAGTAAATGCACATTGGGTAACTTTTTATACTTTTATGTTGTTGAATTGTTTTTGTTGATTATGTTTTATTGTAAGCTTCTCTGGAAACCTACTGGTACAAGAGGCATTTTATATAACCCAGTTTTCCAAGCACTCCAAGTGCCTTGCACACTTGATTAAAACTATCCTTCCAACTACCCTGTAAAATAAGCCATATGCAGTGCTAAACATAACAAAATGGTTTGGGGATTAGGTTATTTGAAGGACTATCTTATTCTGCATAAATCTGACTGTTGGTGTTCAGAAGAACTGTACAGCCAAAACGATACCCACATATGTAGCCAAACTAGGGAGGGCAGCAATTCATGCACACACTGTGATGATGTCAGGGAAACAGTTTAAGCAGTAAGAGGCACCATCCTCATCTGGAGGACATATGGTGACAGGCATATGAGAGGAGTCTCTAGCGTGTATAAGCACACAAATTCATGTCACCAGAGATCAGACAGATGTCCCATAGTTGGTATTCTCTCAACATTTCCATGTGTAGCACTTTTTAACTGTGGAGCAACTTGGACAATAATCATAAACCCACAACTGAAGAGAGAGCATCAGCGCCTCACCTGTTAAAACAGGTACAACCAGAATCCCATCACCCTAGGACCCTCGTACATATGGGACCGCCTCTCCCGGTATGCCTCACGGAGGACCTTAAGGTTCATAAACAGCAACACCCTAGAGGTCCCGGGCCCTAAGGAAGTTACCGTATTTTTCGCACCATAGGACGCACTTTTTCCCTCCTAAAAAGCAAGGGAAAATGTGTGTGCGTCCTATGGAGCGAATGCAGGCTTTCGCTGAAGCCTGGAGAGTGAGAGGGGTCGGTGCGCACCAACCCCTCTCGCTCTCCAGGCTTCAGGAAGCTATCCGCTAGCCGTGGGAGACCCAGCTCTCCCACGGCTAGCGGAGCGCTGCATTAATCCCGAAGCTTGGGGCGTGCGGAGCTCAGCGCGCCCCAAGCTTCTGGGTGCCGGAAAGGTCTCCGCTAGCCCTGGGAGAGCCCCGCGACGTCGCGGGGCTCTCCCAGGGCTAGCGAAGCGCCGCGCTAATCCCGAAGCTTGGGGCGTGCGGAGCTCAGCGCGCCCCAAGCTTCTAGGTGCCGGCAAGGTCTCGCTAGCCCTGGGAGAGCCCCGCGACGTCGCGGGGCTCTCCCAGGGCTAGCGAAGCGCCGCGCTAATCCCGAAGCTTGGGGCGTGCGGAGCTCAGCGCGCCCCAAGCTTCTGGGTGCCGGCAAGGTCTCGCTAGCCCTGGGAGAGCCCCGCGACGTCGTGTGGCTCTCCCAGGGCGAGCGAAGCGCCGCGCTAATCCCGAAGCTTGGGGCGTGCGGAGCTCAGCGCGCCCCAAGCTTCTGGGCGCCAGCAAGGTCTCCGCTAGCGCACAGAAGCTTGGGGCGCGCTGAGCTCCGCACGCCCCAAGCTTCGGGATTAGCGCTCCGCTAGCCGTGTCTAGGCTGCGGATAGCAGCCTGCTTCCCAGAGCGTCGGGCGCCCTTAAAGCAGAGCTCCAGGCGCTTCGGGAACACATCCGCAGCGTGGGGAGCCTTGCAGGAATTCCCCACAGGGCTCCCCACGCTGCGGATAGCAGCCTGCTGCCTGGCGGGTGGGGCGCCCTGAAGCAGAGCGCCCCTCGCGCCAGGCATACATCCGCAGCGTGGGGAGCCTTGCAGGAGTTCCCCACAGGGCTCCCCACGCTGCGGATAGCAGCCTGCTGCCTGGCGGGTGGGGCGCCCTGAAGCAGAGCGCCCCTCGCGCCAGGCAGACATCCACAGCGTGGGGAGCCTTGCAGGAGTTCCCCACAGGGCTCCCCACGCTGCGGATAGCAGCCTGCTGCCTGGCGGGTGGGGCGCCCTGAAGCAGAGCGCCCCTCGCGCCAGGCATACATCCGCAGAGTGGGGAGCCTTGCAGGAGTTCCCCACAAGGCTCCCCACGCTGCGGATAGCAGCCTGCTGCCTGGCGGGTGGGGCGCCCTGAAGCAGAGCGCCCCTCGCGCCAGGCATACATCCGCAGAGTGGGGAGCCTTGCAGGAGTTCCCCACAGGGCTCCCCACGCTGCGGATAGCAGCCTGCTGCCTGGCGGGTGGGGCGCCCTGAAGCAGAGTGCCCCTCGCGCCAGGCATACATCCGCAGAGTGGGGAGCCTTGCAGGAGTTCCCCACAAGGCTCCCCACGCTGCGGATAGCAGCCTGCTGCCTAGCGGGTGGGGCGCCCTGAAGCAGAGTGCCCCTCGCGCCAGGCAGACATCCGCAGAGTGGGGAGCCTTGCAGGAGTTCCCCACAAGGCTCCCCACGCTGCGGATAGCAGCCTGCTGCCTGGCGGGTGGGGCGCCCTGAAGCAGAGCGCCCCGCCCGCCGGACAGACATCGGCCAGCCCCACAAGCTCGGGGGACAGCAGGGAGGCGCAGCGCCACTATCCCGCTGTTCCTCGACCTGGTTCGGTTTCCCTGACCTGCTTTTGGGGGGGAAATAAAGGGGGAAAAATTTCCTTTATTTCCCCCCAAAAAACTAGGTGCGTCCTATGGTCCGGTGCGTCCAATCGTGCGAAAAATACAGTAGCTTAGCCTCAATCAGAGCCAGGGCTTTTCCAACACTGGCTCCAGCCTGGTGGAACGCTTTGTCTCATAAGACCAGGGCCCTGCGGGATCTGATTTCTTTCCGCAGGGCCTGTAAGACAGAGTTGTTCCACCTGGCCCTTTGGCTTGGAGTCAATTTGATTCCCTCCCCCTCTTTCTTTTTTCCTTTCTCCTCCTGTGATGAGGCTGCATTTTAATGTTGTATTTTAATCTTGCTTTTAATTTGTATTCATTCAACTTGTTTTTATTATTGTTAGCCGCCCTGAGCCCGGCCTTGGCTGGGGAGGGCGGGGTATAAATAAAATTTATTATTATCATCACCCCAGGGAGCAACTGTCGTTATTACACACACACACCCTGCAAAAAAAACCCATCCTTTCACTAAGATGCGAGGACAGAGCAATGCCACAGGGTTTACAGGCCGTAAACTGAATGTTGGTTTCTGGGAGCCACTATTTGCGGAGGACCCTGCATGTGGGCACCCTGGGACATCTTTGGGTGGCCACGGTGAGAACAGGATGTTGGACTAGTTGGGCCCCTGGCCAGATGCATCAGGGCTTTTCTGACGACCTGAAAAAAGGGCCAATGGGCCGGGATGCTCCGTGCCTGCCCCCTTAGCATACACTCCTGGTTCTGCAATGAAAGGGGGAGCTGGAGCCAAGCTGGCCTCCCCTGCTCAGCCCCAACAGATCGACCGTGATGGGGGCGGGATGGAGGTGGCGCAGAACAAGGCCGCTTGGGCCCCGGCCTCCCTTGGCCAGGAGGGCGGCCCTTTTCGGCCTCTCTCTCACTCACAGAACTTGGAGGCCGAGGGGTTGATGTTGAGGTTGATACTGGAGCCCCCCTTGACCGGCGTGGCTTCGCAGCCCTTCCCTGGCCCGTTGGCGGCCTCGGACATCATGTGGATCTCCAGCTCCTCGTGGGGCGACAGAGAGGCCCTGTGGGGCTCCCCGGGGGACGCAGAGGCCGGCCGGCGCCGCGTCTGCCCGTAGCTCCCACCTCCTCCTCCCGCGGCTTCGGCCGCAGCTTCCCAGTTGTTGTGGTTCTGGTCGTCCATTAAGGCCTCGTAGCTGCTGCTGCTGCTACTGACGCTTCCGCCTCCTCCTCCTCCTCCGCCGCCTCCTCCTCCCGCTCCTCCGCCGCCCCCCTCCTCCTCCATGCTCTCCTCCTCCATCCCGACAGGCCTGGAGGGGCCTGCTCTGCCCGGGCAGGGAGGAGGGGGCGGGCACGGAGAGCGCCGCCTGTCACAATCGCCTCCCGCCCATTGCCGAACGGCGCTGTCGCGTCTCCAGGTTACGCGGAACGGCGAGCGGCGGCAACGGCTGCCTTCGGGGTGGCTCACTCCGGAAGCGGATCCGACCCTGGCAGCCGTAAAGCGACCGTCGCCCGCGCACCTCTCTTTCCGACGGCTCTCCCCACCCCTAAGCAGGAGTTTGCGGCACAGCCCGGCCCAGTTAGCTGTCGCGGGGCATGCTGGGAAATGTCGTTTAATGATTGGCCTCCCCGCCATGACACGAGAGGCAAAGGATTCCAGGAAACCTCGAAGCTGCTATAGTACTAGGGGCGAAGCAGGGGCGGAAGTGGTAGAAGAAACGCTCGTCTTCTTTCTCCGCCTCCCGCTTTCCTGTTATGTTATGGGGTACTAGATGTTTCCAAGCCCCAAACTGAATATTTTGTTGGAGGAGAGCAATTCTGAAGAGTGAGGAAAGCAGGCTCTGTCTAACACATCCATTTACAGTGCAGGGGGCAGAGTTCTTTTTTAAAAAACCACAAAGCAGATGGTCTCTCGTTACCCCTAGTTCAAGCACAGACAAACTCGGCCCTCCAGATGTTTTTGGGACTACAACTCCCATCATCCCTAGCTAATAGGCCCAGTGGTCAGGGATGATGGGAGTTGTAGTCCCAAAAACATATGGAGGGCTGAGTTTGCCTATGCCTGCCCTAGATGCTCACTACCTGCTACAGACTCTAGTTGGTTGGCTCCCCGCCTCCATTTTGCTTTCCTTGGTTGCTGTTCATATTTGAGGGCACCCTGGGCAAGTGGTGGGCTTCCTTTTCTAGCAGGCAGGGGCAAGACTAGGCTTTATTTCACCTGGGTCACAGACCCAGTTTGGCGCATACACCCCACACTCATTTGTGTACACAGGCTGGGAGCCTCAACAGTGCCCCTTTGGAGGCTTCACCTGGGGCAAAAAAAAAACAAATACCATCCCCTGCTAGCAGGCTTACCTCCAAGCCATGTTGGACATCTTCCTACTTACACATTTCCCACAGTGGCACTAGATCAGTCTGTGGGCAATCAAAGGGTGACTAGGTGCAGCTGCCTTTCTTGCTCAGTGTGTTAGTCTTAAAAATAAAATAAAGGGGGTCCCAGGGTTGACATCAGCTGTGGGCCCTGTTGGCACTGCCTAAGTATGCTAAGCAGCCCTGGTGGCTATGTTCAGTTGTTAAATTTATTGCCCATTCTCCAACAGCAGGTCCCAGGGCAGGTTACAGCAATTTAGAAACTCATATAAAAAACAGTTAAAACAAATTACAGTCACAGTTTCAGGAAAGGGGGAGGCCTGCAAACACGCCTCTCAGGTTTCATAGGCCAGAGCACAGAGATGTATCTTCTGCATTCATGAGAAGCTGTACAGAGAAGGTGTCAGATGCACCTCTGTACAGAAGGAGTTCTGTGATTTAAGGGCTGCCTTAAGGGGTCTTGGCTCAAAACTCGCAGTCTCTACCATAGACTTAACTGATAGATCACACAAGCCCTATTTAGGCAAACCATTCAGGTATTCTATCAAAATCTGATAGCGAGGGAGCTTTCACATATACAACTAAAAGGTCCCTATTAGGTCAATGGGGATTTATTTATAATACCATTTCCTTTTAATTTGCAAGTATACAAACTTCTATACCTAAAGATGTATGCATGTATTTGTGTAAAGCATTGTTTTATCACCGTCTTGTACCAAAAAGGCTCACCGAGCAGCTTACAGTTCAATTTTTAAAAAACAAGATAATCCCTGCCCTTGGATTTCCACAATAAAAGACAAGAGAGAAAAGGCACCAGCTCTTAATGTTACATTTCTCATAATATGGTTGTTATAATTTGGATGGAAATAGTTCAGGGTGGTAGCCTGATGGAATGGGTGCTTCTCGCTGAAAATTGGGGGAAAGCCAAAAGCAACTAGTCTCCCAGCACAGTGACAGAATAGCTAATTTCCTTTACCTCCCTTTGATCTGTAGCCTGCTGGAAGGGCTGGTGTTTGGAGATAGTTAGGGAGAGCCAAAGGGATCTTGTCTCTCAGCAGAGATGGAATAGCCCTTCTTCCCTTCTCTGCTGCAGCTTGACAAAGTCTGGCTTTCACTGCTTACAAATAAAAGCCCAGATTCAGTGCACTTGTATACTCATAAGTGTAGGGGAAGCCTGTCCCCGAGTCATGTTTTTCCTCAAGACAATTAATAGATCTCTAGTCATTTGAAAGAAACAAAGAAAGTAACCTTTTGGGGGAACATCTAGTGGTGCAAGATTCTGATGACTCACATGAAGTATCAAATGGTCCCCATCAATTTAGAATCATAGCAATTCGTTTCAAGCAGCCTGTAACAGTTGTAACCCGCCTCTCAACCTGTAAAGTTACTGGGGACTGTTCTTCAATTTTCAGAATTTCAAAGTACATGCAAAGTTCAAGTTTACTTACAAATTGCAAAAGAAGGTTAAGAATACACTTAAAATATAGGTTGTTTATTTCTACCAACTATAATTTGGAATCTGCTCTATTCGTTTTTATGAAAAAGGAAAAGATAGACAAATTATGATAAGCATATGCAAGTCATTATATAGTTATAATGTGGTCCCTTGATATCATACCTCCAGATGCAAGCCAAGCGATAAAAGCCACTCCGACTGCTTCCTAATCATAGCACCCATAATGTGCCACTCATTTCTGTGGAGGCACACATACTAGTGCACAGCACTGGAAAGTCTGGAGGGAGGTAGAGTTAACCAATGTGACCACAAAGTCTTGTAAAGTATGAATGAATAAAGCAGGGACATCACATTCTGCTACATCTTTTCACACAAAAGATTACCTCAGCATGGCACATTAATTTGCTGTCTCTGCTATGGCTAGTTTTTATTGATGTCCTGCTATCCCTGGCTTGCACATGGGGGGAAAGAAACAGAGGGTTAATTTATTGCCTTTGTTTGGTATTAGCTTCACATCGCTGCTCTCTTGGTACACCAGGTGGTTTGCTGTTTTTAGCAGCACTGGAGCCTATTAGGATGGATATAAAACTCTGGAACCTCGGTCAAGAAGCCATTTCTAACATAATTTCTGGTCCCTGCACAGCTCCATATGCGAATCTGCACATCATTCTCGATAGCTATTGAGAAGCATTTTATATTATTCACCAGCAGGGAAAAACGATCACCGTCCTGCAGACCTGGCTGTCAGTCTCAGTTATACAATTGTCAGGCATTTAGAATTGGTAGACATAAGGAGCACCGCAGAGGTATTTTTTTTTCTCCCTCTCGCATCCTGTTTTTTAGGAAATGGTTTCATTTGCAGCCCTCAAATACACACTGAACTGCTGAGATTCTTGAAAAAAAGACATGGAAAACAATGTAGTTTAGAAATAATAATACATTATCTCTGTACATGTCCCCTGGTAGGGATATACAGTACTATATCCTGACATTCTTCCCTGTGAGAACAGGAGGAGCTAGAGCAAGGGGTAGCCAACACTGGAGTCCAGCAATATTTGGGGAACACTAGGTTGACTAACCCCTGAACTGGAGGCCTGCTAAAAATGAAAAATGCATTTTGCTGGATTCTAACAAGGGCAGAGAAATATGATATGCCTTCTGATCTTCTTCTTATTTGCTCATAGGTAAGCTCCCTGAATTCAGTGGGACTTATTCCAGGTAAGTAGGGGGGAAGTCATTGCTTATACAAGAGTAGCTATGCAGGACGGAGCTGCAAGTTGCCTGGAATGTAGTGTTCGTTCTATGCCACACACAAAAATTATCCACACACACACACACAAACACCCATGTTGCCGGATCCTTAATCCTAAAACTGATTGTTCCATGGAAGGGGTTCAGGGGTTCAGAATGCTCGGAAGAGTTGGGCCTTTCCTCCCAGCTGGCACCTCCTTAAAAACATCCACTCCCTTATGTGGTAATTAGGCTTATGAGGGAAAGCTCTAATTCAAGCAAATGATGGGGGGGTGGGGGTGGAGGAAGGTCTATTCTGTGCAGGATCAAGGGAATAGATAGGATCAAGGGAATAGAGAACACCGTCCAGGTTCAAAGACAACATGGGCTGCACCCAATCACAGCCTGGCAGTTCTCTACCCTTAGTTTAAATACATCAAATATGTTATATTACTTCAGGGGCTTTGTCAGATAGCAGGAATTAAGGAGTGCAAATGTCTAACCTTTTTGTCTGATTGAAGACAAAGTTTCAAGTCTAAATGCACGGGTTCCCTGAAGGTTGGCTGATTCACATCCAAAGAGGCTTATAACAGGGGGAAATGTATTCTCTTTCCTGTTTGCTGCTGACAGCTGTATTCCTGTTACTTTGCCCACTGTGTGGAGACCCTGAAAATATGATTTTGATAAAAGTAAGCCAGGATGAAGACGAGAAGTGTGAGGCCCCCAAAATACATGCAGAAAACACGAGCGGATTATGAATTTGTTAAATGTGATGATTGACAAGGAAATTGTTCCTGAACGCATAATACAATTGAAAGCCTGGCTGTAAAGCAATATGAGTGATCTTGATTTGAAGTTAAGAGGATTAAAAGAGTGTAAATAATTCAAGTCCCAAGGGCTGCATTTAGAGATTATTTTTTTCTTACAATTTATACATGCATCCACTCGGGGGAGTACTTTCAATTTGATATTCCTTTTCATGTGCTTTTCTGCTCAGTGCTTCTTTCCCTGATCAGAATGTCAGCTTTCTATTCAGCAGAGAGAAGGCGATAAGAAGTAGTCAGAAAAGGAAACTTAACAAATAAGAATTATAGGAGCAGTCCTGGGAGCGGCTGCCTCAAGAATTGCTATCAGCAAAAGTGTCTCTCCAGACGCTGTTAGTGGGGAAAGGGGGGCGGAGAGAGAGAGAGAGAAAAGGCATAAAGGCACAGCAGCCATTTAGTACTTGGTTTTAAAGCACATAATTGGAGCTAAATGTGGTATCTGCTTCCACTTGCCAGTGGAGCATGAGGAAGCCCTGCACTCCACCATATGAACCATATACATATCCACATCCTATTAAAATTATGCTCATTTCATGAACTACTGTTCATATCACATTTCTGCAAGACAGAGCCATCCATTATTTTTTTAAAAAGATGATAAACTTTATCAGTTGAAAGCTTACTGCTTACTAATAATATATTTTATGGGTACCTCTTTGAGGCTTTGACAATTAAAGGTATATACCAGTAGGTAAAGGTACCCCTGACCATTAGGTCCCGTTGCGGACGACTCTGGAGTTGTGGTGCTCATCTCACTCTATAGGCCGAGAGAGCCGGCGTTTGTCTG